CAACTTATAAACCACCCACCCACCCCCCCCCCAACCCTCGTGGCTGTTTTGGAGGTGATGGAGGAAAAGTGGGCGGTGTTGGGCGTGTCGAGATATCTCGGAATCAAATACTAGAGAATACCATAGAAATAGCCATGGTGATGGTGAGGGTGATGGTCGGAGATGGGGCAAGGGGGATCTTTTCAAAGCTGATAGCGGTGGTGACGGGTCACACTGCCCCCCCCCCCCTATAGTGAGGGGGTTGCAAAACTTTGAAAATGCGTGAACGTGAAGGTTGACCTTGGTTGGGGTCAGGTACGCGGCGATGCGGGGTGCTCTCCATGGCGATGCACTTCCTTGGATGCACGCCGTCCTTTTTGCAGTATGCATGCCTCCCCGTCTCCCGTATCCCGCTTGTCGTAATATATCTTTTAAAGCAAAAACCTAGGATCATGATGGTGGGATAACAGCGCTCAATAATCAAGGTGGGGGGAGTGCTGACTGAAGAATAAAAAAATCGCGATGAGTCCTTCAGCAAAAACCGCCTACTTCGCCTCGGAATGACGGAAGGGTGTGTCCATATGAGTTTTCTGAACTTCTGGCCCTATGCCAGTAGTTTCTCGCCTGAAAATAGTCGATTAGAACAACTCCCTTCTGCAAGAGGACACTCAAGTACCATACACCTACAACCGCTCATATCGGAATCTTCCGCTACGCTATTTTGAGCTTATAAGTTCAACATCTTCACTCTACTCTCAAGCGATGCCTGCTTGATTCTGCCTCTAACCATGAGTGGATGACGTCTAACACGGATTCATATTCAAGGGAACCCTGGTCTCGACTTCTTGATATTATGGTTGATTTCAGGCTGTCAAGATTTAGTCGATCCGAGAACAGGAGTCTCGAATTGTGCTCAGTGGCCGGCTATTGTCGCGACGCTCGTTATCTTAATCTCATGAGGCAGCAGTGCCCCAGGACTTGCGGATATTGCTAATATTGTTGTTGTTGATCAATAAAAGTTTTGAATGGTACTACGAAACTCAGCATCAAAGAAGTCATTAAGGAAAATACGAAGAAAAAAAAATAAAAGGAAATTACTAGGTTTTCTGGGCCGTATCCCGGCGAAGGGAGAAGAACATGACTGTTGCAGTCTGGTTCTTCAATTTGGGTAAGCTTATGCTAATTCAATACAGTTGCCTTCAGAATAGACCAGAGGTGAGGACGGCGAAGTGGGCGGGAAGGTCGTTCCTCTGAAAAAACCTTTTGAGAACAGTGCAATGCACTGTTCACTCTCAAAACTTGGTTTTGAAGGGATCAAGGATTTGTGAAAGGAAGACTATCCACAACATATCTACAGCAAGTCAAGAAATCTACTGGGTAGGAGATGTCGAAGCATTGATCTGTAGCCTATGGTTCAACTTGTGCAGTGTTTTTTGTGCGATGGATGCGCGGTCCGGGCTATTGTGCTGGGATGAATTTGCCTTGCTCATCATGGACTATACTGGGTAGAGATGTGTTGCAAGACGTTGGTGAATCTGGCCTTCGTCTGTGAAGAGGGTTTTCCTACCTGTAAAGAGGGAGACTTCCCCACCCCGTTTAGGAGTGCTGGAGAGCATACGCCTGTCATCATAAGCTTTCCTTAAACGGTTTCATCCTTGCGAGATTTTGTTGATCTTGATTCTGATAGACATTCAGGCAGCGTCCTTGACTACTATATCGAAGAGTCTACATGGCATGTCACATTTCAGAAGAAAAACCCAAGTCAGTACGACCCGAAGTAGTTCGTGGTATAGACCGATTTCTTAGTCGATCACGAAAAAGTTCACGCAAATCTTTTATGCGTCACACGTAACCAAACAAATCATAAAAAACAAGCGAGCTTCGACACTCGAATTGCATAAAATAAGACAAAGTCGTCACTCCGAAGAGGTGACTCTCCGCGGTACGCTTTCATAGAGATTTTTCAGATTTTGGCCAGTACTCTTACGATCTTCAAAACTTTCAATATCGCTAAAAGAACTTTTGACCTTGGTCTTGCAGCACATGGAATCACTTCCCCTTCAAACAGTAAAAACATGAAGTATTGGGCGTTGATCAATCCCATTTATGGCATGCGCGCAACGGCATTCACCTACTATTTGCAGAACAAATCCTTCCTGATTCGTTACGAGGATTCCAATAAACGGAAAGGACTGGTAGCGTATAGACAAAGAGGGAACCGTCAAAATGTTGTATGGATCACTGCGTGCAACTGCACGTGCCACTGCACTTCAGTTAAGGCTAGCTCAGGAATATATGCGTGCCGCGTGCTGTACATGGTGCAGCGCGGCTCTTTCAAGCACACGTTTGACCATTTCCTCAGCTTTATGTGAATGTAGTCGCGAACTAAAGGAGGAATTCACGATAAGAACGAAGGTCAAAGAAGGGAAATTGCATAGTTGGGAGACAGGCGGACCTCCTGAGGGTGCTGACCGACGCGCAATTGGCAGCGAAAGATTTGACCTCGGCGATCTAGCATGGCTCACTCTTGGCGCGGTTGGCGGGGTACGCCCACCGACTATCTAATCACTCGCCGCAGGTCTATACGTGGCGAGTGATTAGATAGCAGAGAGAGCGTAGTGTTGAAGAGGGCACAGCGATGAGAGTCATCAATGCGCAAATCAACGGGCAAGGAAGGGGTCCCATTTCTCGGGTTTCGGGCCGTTTCAATGGTTTCTTCTTCATCCCTGCTCCACTGACCACCTCTACCCTTATTTCCAATGAGCTAACTTTTCATCGTAAATTCTGCCTTTAAGCAAATGTGCTCTTTACATTTGGCACCCATTTTTCGGCAGAGAAACCGACAGGAAGGTAGTCGAGAACAAGTCGGTGACATGCGACAGCGCATGCTGCGGTGCCACTGTGGCTTACAGTGAATTAATCTAACGTAACGTGCCGACAAATCTCTTGGGTGATCCCATTTTAGAATCAGTATTTCATCAGCTAATTACATATGTGGTTCGAGAGAATGATTCTGTAAAATAAACAACTGACGAGTTATATCCAGATGATGTCACTATTTAGTACTGCAGCTGTGCTCGAACATGCCAGACAACTGCAGCCAGTAGAACGCTTGCTAGCGAAATTCGAATCATTATTCGTCATTTTATTTTTTCATTTTCATTCTCTTTTCCAAAGGACAAGAAGCTGTGTCATCAAGGGAGCTCTGTTTACTTACAGCTCTGCGTCCTCATAGAGATGAATATTTGTAAGGCAAAACCACGGAGGCTTAGTGCAAATAGCAAAGCTCCACAAAGAATGAATACGACGCCTCCCAGATCCAAACGTGAATGATTGATTGACATCGCCTAGATTCAGATTGCTTCTGGGATCTAATGCTGTAAAGAGGCATCGTGGTACAGAGCATCTGGAAAAAGCCAGAGAAACAATCTTTTCTCTTAATTTAGGGCGAGCAGAGCTCTAGATTGAGCGAAGCAATTCATGGAACACGAAGACGCTTCTTTGTTCGAAAGAATTTGCTGTAACCTCGGAGCACCCTTATCCTTAAACAAAATGTCGTCCCGATTGCTGAAAAATAATGTTCTCCGCATTATCCGGCACGCAAGAACATGCGTGGAAAAAAGCTTGTGTCAAATAGAATTTTTGAGAGCTCCTTGTGAATAATTGAGATTATCTAACCAACCCCGCGAAGTATTACGCTAGCACGATTTCCCGTGAAGCGCGCTAGGCAAACAGTATCACTCGAACGTATGTTCTAAATGAAGAAATTGGCAGGCTTGTAAAGGGAGGTGGGCAACTGTTCGTGTGAACTACTCTAATTTCACCTTTGGTTAGGGAGTCCTTTAAAGGTATTGCTACAATAAATTGGAGCTCAAGAGGAGAAATTGAATATAACCTCATAGAGTTACTCGCCATCCTTTCTATACATGAATTTTTAGTGATACAAAAGAAACATACATGCAAAGTTCCACGTACAAAACCATCTCTTCTTCTTCTTCTTCTTCTTCTTCTTCTTCTTCTTAACGTTGTCCCGCTGGGGCAGGGTCCGTTGTTCGGATCGAAGAGCGCCACTTTGTTCGATTCAGGGCATCTTCGCTGCGCAGTGTGCAGTTTTCATGTCTTCGTTGATCGTGTCTTGCCACCGTTTTCTTGGCCTTCCACGCGGTCGTTTGCCGTCAACTTCAAATCGGTATGCAGTGGCAGCGACGGTATCCAGGAGCAGCTCGTATGACGTGGCCATACCACTGTAGTCGTCTCTCTCGCATTTTTTCTGTGATAGGTGCAACACCCACGCGCCGTCGAATCACTTCATTGCAAACATGGTCCAGACGTGAGATTCCCAGCGACCACCGGAGCATCCGCATCTCCATAGCGTGAAGTTGACGCTCAGCGCCTTTCGTGCTCGGCCAACATTCAGATCCGTATAATGCAGTAGAGCGGACCATAGTTCGGTATACCTTCGATTTAAGGCGGATCGGCATACGTCTGTCGCACAGGACTCCGGTAATCTCTCTCCATCTCATCCATGCCGCGCCTATTCTCAGTCTTATCTCGTCTCAAGACCTCCATTGGCTTGCAGGCGGGAACCCAGATACTTGAAGCAGTGGTGTTTCTGGTAATTCTCTTCGCCGGTGACTACTTGATAGTTCCGCTCATCTTGAACATGTTTTCAAGTTACACGGTCTTTTTGATGTTGAGACGAAGACCGTACTGGCTAAGCCGATCGCACCAAATCTGAACTCGATGCTGTAGTTCATCTCTGCTGGTGGCTGCGAGAAGAATGTCGTCGGCATACAGCAAAGTCCACGGAACATCATTTTGCAAATCCCGTGTGATTGCATCCAGGACGAGGATGAAAAGCAACGGCGAGAGTGCTGATCCTTGATGAACGCCAAAAGAACCAGCTGCACATCTTACTCGACTTGTGGTGCCCGCGTATAGCATCCGGATCCAGTTGATGAGAACTTCTGGCACTCTGTGTTCACGGAGCGCATACCAGATCAGCTGGTGTGGAACGCGGTCGTACGCTTTTTCCAAGTCTAGGAAGGCTACGTGGAGTGACTTTTGCTTTTCACGATGTTTCTCCAAGAGCATGCGGGCGGCGAAGATTGCGCGAAGATTGCATCGATACAAACAGACAAAGACCCTATTTCTAAAGAAAACCAATCTTACAAAATCTACACTCTCTGTGGACGTCGAAGGTAATGGGGTCCGGGCATAGACGGCATGGAAAGGAGTGCACAAGACGGTCACGCATTATTGTTGTTTATTCTTTAATACGTCGAACAGACATGTCATCGAACACTTCAAGGTTGTGTGTAAAAAAAAATTCAAAAACGATTGAGCTCAGCAACAAGATAAAGAAAAGTAAAAGAAAATAAGCTAACGACAGTTACATCATCAACTCCTTTTAGGGTGATGCCTTAGCGAAAACGAGTCAAGACTAATCCCGTGTACTGCAACTGAGCTATGAGACTGACCCTGGGAGGTATTAGAGACATGCTAAGCTTTCCTGGTTTCCACTTTATCGACACAATTGAAGGGTATAATCTATAAGAGCGTTCAAATAAATTCAGTGGAAAATGGAGACAAAAAACTACCATAGAATACCGATCTATGGATGCAGTGAAAAACGAAATGCCATTTGTGCCGATCGGAGGGAAAGTTCAGAAATAATCCCTAGTGTGGCATTCCGGGAACAAAGCGGAAGCGTTCGTTGTGACAGATGTACACTGGAAATTTGCACGCTTAACAGTACTTCCAACTTTTCGAAATTTTACGGTTACCCAACCAAATGCAATTTTTCGTTCTTTTCATTCTTATCGTGAACGACGAGTATCAAATCAGTGATTTATGGATGGGACAGAACCATAATTTTTCGGGGGCGGATTATCTTTAACCTATCGAAACGCTGACCTCGTTGACATGATGCAGTGAGATCTACTCATGCAAGCGGAGTCATCTTAATCACGGGACTCGTCCAATACCGAGAGCAATGGGGATATGGGGAAGCGAGCATTCCATTTCGCGGGTTTTTCCGTTTTTTCTCAAAGCTGCACCTTTGACCACCTTTGTTTTTTCCTTGCAGCTATTCGTCGTACCATCTGCCTCCGAAGGCGGAGTTTACTATCAAAAGGCAGCCATTAGATAAAAGTAGAAGTGGTCAGTAGTGTTAGCGTAATAAAGAACTTTAGAAAACGGCCTAGAACAGCAATGGAATGAACCCCCTCCTTGCCTACTGAATATGCGCATTCATGCAACTTTCACATCGTTATTCCTCCCTATCCAACTGCTAAGGTCTCTTTCTATATACAGCAAACGCTGAGAGAATCAGACATCGAAATGAGGCGAGAGGAGGCGTACCGGCGGCAATACATGCCGACAACAATGGCGGGGGCATCTATGCAAGTACGCCGGGGCATGTTCTTCGCCACGAATTGCGTGTCGGTCCACACACTTGTAGGGCCCTCCTGTCTTTCCAGTAAATAAGTTTCGCATTATTCGATTTATTGACTTTGTGTTTTTTTGTGCTTTCACTGCTGTCTTAGCAGCGGTGGCTAAGCGCTAGCTTACGTTAAAGGCAAATTCCGGGATTTCTGGCGAAATTTAGGTTTTCCCCGTCAAATATGGAGCAGTACGCAAGGGCAGACCATGTGCAGAAGTGGCGGGGCGTTTTGATAAGGTTTAGGCGCTAGGGGCCTAGGTTGGAGCATTGGCGCCGCCCCAACCAGGGCCCCTATTGAGCCCGCCCACCGTCCTACGTGATCTTCCAATCAATCACCTGGAACGCTAGATGTTAAGCCGTCGTTTGGAAAGTCGTAGGGGAGTAATTAGCGGATTTCAATTACGAAAATCGACATCAAAACCTATCTTACGACCATTTTGGAGAACGCTGCCATCATCTAGTGAGAAGAAAAAAGTTCAAGATAAAAAGCAAACAAAAAAAAACACAGGAAAATAGAAAAATAGGGAAACTAGGAAAAATCAGTTTTATTGCTGACTTCTTGTGGTCGTGTCGGTTGATGGCACAAAGCCAACAGTTGCTGTAGACATGTCCAAACAGGTAATTTCCCCAGCCCTGGTTCGTAAGCGACTGACGAGGAGAAATTTCTAATTTTGTAGTTCTTTGGAGGTATTTCCTGCTTTTTTTGTTACCTTCGATCAACTTGGCACCCAGCTCTTCATACTCGAACAGGTGAGTCCCTCGTTTTATCCCGGAGTTTGCCTTTAAATGGTCACATTCAGCTGCTGCGAGAGCGCTGGCCGCCGCGCCTCGCTTTGCCCAAACACTGTGATGTCACCTAATGTTATTGCGTACGCTTGCTCCGGTGCACTTGAGGTGCAGCCATTTAACGAAAAAAAAATCACTAAAATTATGAAAATAATTGAAATATCTTCCCCTCAGTTGTTGAAGATTGTCTCTCACATAAGTGTAGAAAGTTTGATATGGAAACATAACGTAGTTTCGTCCAAATTTTTGACTCTGCTGTGGGTAGACATCCCCATTCTGCTGCCCCCTTGGGGAGTAAGCTGTAAGTAAACAGAAATATTCGATGAATATCTCGTCTGCAGTGCCGTTAGCACAGCTGGTTGCCTTTTGACATATCTGCTTTAAAAAGAGAATGACGAGTAGTTATTCTGTAGTTCTAACATGTCGTTCCAGGAGTGGTTATTCTGGTCGTAGCTGTGTGGCAAGTCCGAGCGCAACTGCTGTACTGCAAAGTGGACTCGTCTGGGCGTGAGTGGCTAGTTCTCTATTCTGAGTCCTGAATCTTGCGCTGAAGTGCTCGAGCGTCATATGAGCCAAGCCGATGTTGATGGAGTTCAAAATGTTTTATTGGACAAGGCTTGCTACCTCTATTGTTTTTTTTTACTGTGGAAACCATTTCCTCCTAATATTCTTTTCTCATTTTTATCCTCTTCCTTTCCTTCTTTTGAATTCGCTCTTCGCTGAATTTCCTTTTTCTCTTCCTTCGCTCGACTCTACCGTATTTCGTCGTTTACACTTCTGAAGTTGCTCAGTTCTGAACCTGATCGTGGTAGGACCGCTGCTGCAGTCGACTCCCATTTCGTGACCGTTTTGTATGCACAAAGAGCTCGGTGAAGTGAACTCGGCGTTTGATACAATGTTTTAGACGCGTGCACCGAATTTTACTTCATTCGGAATCTAGTGTCACCTTAGGCGATATATCGTAAAGGCAGAATTTACGATGAATATTGGCTTTTCAGAAATGAGGGAAGAGGTGCATACTGGAGCAGGGATGAAGAAGAAACCATATAAAACGGCCTGAAACCTTAGAGATGGGACCCCTTCCTTGCCCGCTGATTTAGGCATTAAGGCGACTCGCATCCCTGTGCTCCCTTCAACACTACGTCTCTTCCCTGGCTAATCTGATCACTGTCCCACGCTATAGCTGCTGCGAGTGAATTTAAGACAGTCGGTGGCGTACCTCCGCAAATTGTCGCAAGATGGTAGCTATGCTTAGCCTATGGCTACTATGAGCTAGATTCCGTGAGAGCAAATCTTTTCGCTGCCAATGCGGCAAGGCCAGCCCCTCCCCTCAGGAGGTCCGCCTGCCTCTCAGCTACGCAATTTTCCCCTTCTTTGACCTTTTTTTCCTATCGTGCGGGAACCAGATACCTAATTCAGGTATGGAAGGATTGTTTGCTCCAGACGAGGCACGAGTCCAGATTTGACCCTGCGTGTGGTAATGGGTACCGCTTGCCACCTTGGCCCGCAGATGTCATAATATAATCATAATCAATCTATCATAAAGCATGGGGTCCACCCTTTCCTCTATCTCCAGAAACACCCAACCATCTTGTAGGTTACTGCTGTGCCTTTTAGTAGGGTCGTTGCTAATAGTATGAAGTGTTGTTCTATGCTTATTTGAGATAAGGTGACCTAAAGAAGGGCTTATGCCCGAACCGTTTTCACTGAACCTCGAACAAAAAGAAGAGCCCCATCTCTAGCTAATGCTGCGTCCTATAAGTCATGATACAATTATTAGATTGTTGTTCTCTGCACTTATCCGCATACTTCATGTTCAGCCTGCGTCTCGGGTATGTGCCCACTGCCGACAGATCAGTGCATCAACACCCAGTCCGGAGAAGTGTGTTGCAACAAAGGACCAGGTTAGTGTGCTCATTTTTCGCCACTTTGGGACAACTTCTAAATCAAACAAGGAGCGAGCACAGTTTTTACACTATACTCGCAGCGCGTTTGTGGAACAGATAGGTGGCTCATTACCCTTTAGTTACTTACTTCTTGACTTACTTCTTTAGTTACTTACTTCTATCCGTCCTGAGCACGCCAGAAGCGCAGGTCGCGCATCTTCCAAGTAGCTCTGCTTCGTTCTCTGCACCACAGTTGACTGCACAATTTTACGAAAGGGTCATCCAATTGGATGAGGGAGGTCTGCCTCTGGGCCTTGTTTTTTTTTCCCCTTGGGTACTATCAGTGTCAGGTCACATCTTCTATCCAGCGATCACCGTTTATTCTGACAACACATGACCCGGCCACCTCAGCTTGTTTGGAAGAATGGCTTTCTAATGAATTCGCTTGAATGGATACAGCGCGGATGGTGTCACTGGGTATGGGCCAGGCGGTGAAGGCTCTGGTCAACGCTACATGGATGAAATGGAGGGAATCACTGATATCCCCTGCGATCGAAGGTGCTCCAAAGCGCAGAGGAAAGTGTACGACAGTGGTAAGGCAGCGAGTGCTGGGCCTTGAACAAGAATCAGGAAAGGCAGCTCCACTCTGCCGAAATGAGGATGCTGAGATGGGCCTGCGGCTGGACGCGGCTGGACAAGGTTAGAAACGAGGACGTCAGAGCGGTCATGCAGACTGCCCCTGTCCAGCTGAAGGTACGAGAACAGCGTCTGCGATGGTATGGGCATGTGCTAAGGAGGCCACAGGACCATCCGATAAGAACAGCGATGGACTTCGAAGTACAAGGCAAGCGACCGCGAGGAGCCCCGAAGAAAAGGTGGAAAGACGTGATCAAGAAGGACCTAGGTGAGGTCGCGGCCACGATGGAAGATGCCCTGGACAGAGCAAAGTGGCGACGGCTGACAAAAACAGCGGACCCTGCGACTGCGCGGGACTAACGCTAGGGAGAAGAAGGTGTCATTGGGTATGAGGTGCCAGAGCGAA